AGAGATCCAGCTTCGGTTTTTTTTAGAATTTTTTTCTAAATTTAACTCTTCATTTAGCGTTCATTTATTATGGAAGGAGGGGCAATGGTTTTAGCTGATGGAGGTGTTGTTTGTATTGATGAATTTGATAAAATGCGTGAAGATGACCGTGTAGCCATACACGAGGCTATGGAACAGCAAACAATTAGTATTGCTAAAGTAATTTAATTTTTATATTTAAGTTTTTGTGTATAGAAAAGTGTTTAATTTTTAAATTAATTTATCGTTAATTAGGTTTTTGCCTAAAAAATATAAAATTAATTTTAAAAACCCAAAAAATGATTTTAAACAAAAAGTTTCAAAATTCTTATATTTAAATAAATTAATTAAAATAAATTTATCTGTTTTTTCTAGGCAGGAATAACCACAACTTTAAATTCTCGTTGCTCTGTTTTGGCTGCTGCCAATTCAGTTTTTGGACGTTGGGATGACACTCGCGGAGACGAAAACATTGATTTCATGCCAACAATACTTTCACGTTTTGATTGTATTTTTGTTGTTAAAGACCAATATGACAGAAATAGAGATGCTGTACATTTTTTTTTAATTTTTTAAAAATAATTATTTTTCCATCAATTTAAAGCAATTAGCTAAACATATTGTGAAAGTACACACACAAGCAACACAACCATCAGCATTAAATTCTTTTGGGGGAATTGATGGAAATATTAATGGAATTGCCGCACCCGTAGATGAAAATATGGATGACGATGGAGATGAAAATATGTTAATTGATTCGAATGATGGAAATAAAGTTTTTTTAAATTTTAAGAGGGAATAAATTTTCTTTCTTTTTTAAAGGAACTTTCTTTGGATTTTTTAAAACGTTATATTGCTTATGCTAGAGCTGTTTGTGGACCTCGTATTTCTGAAACTGCTAGTGAATTGTTACTTAATCAATATGTAAAATTAAGAAATCCACAAATTGACCAAAATTCTCAACAACAAAATTGGAAAGGAAAAAGTTGTTAAAATTTTGTTTAAATTTAAAATTTAATTTTTAAAGAACATGGGCAATCAACAATACCCGTAACTGTGAGACAATTAGAAGCGATCATTCGTTTAAGTGAATCATTAGCTAAAATGGAATTGCTTCCTTTCACTGAAAAAAGACATGTAGAAGAAGCAATTCGTTTATTTAAAGTTAGTACAATTGCTGCGGCACAAAGTGGAAGTTTAAGCGGTAAATTTATTTTTTTTATTTTGAAAAATTTTTAAATTTAAAAAATAGCAAATTGTTAACCGAAAAGTTGGTGGTCCACGTGGTCCACCCCGAAGGCGCCTAAAATTTTGATTTTTAGCGCCGCAGGCGAAAATTTTTAGAATTTCGAATTCCCCCCTACCCTCCCCTGGCTACGGGCCTGGAAGGTGCCCATACCTTTAAAAATTGTTTTTTTTTTATTTTTAAGTCTACTTAAATTAAAACTACTCTAAAAGTAAAATTATATTAAAATTTTCAGGCGTTGAAGGATTTACTTCTAGAGAGGACCAAGAATCCTTTGATCGAGTTGAGAAACAATTAAAACGACGTTTTCAAGTTTAATTTAAATTTAAAATTATTTAAAATTATTTTTTAAAGGTGGGGACATATGTATCTGAACATTTAATTATTGACGAATTTAGTAAACAAAGCTATCCAGAGGCTTTAGTTCGACGAGTAAATTATTTTATTATAATTTTTTTAAATTTATTTTTTATAGGCAATTGACTTTTGTGTGCGTCGTGGGGATTTCCAATATAGAATGCAAAGAAAATTACTTTATCGGGTTAAGTGAGGAAAGTCTGATTTTTTGGTAATTATTTATTTTTCAATTTTAACAATTTACTTATTTTTCTATAAAAAATGTGAAAAATTATTCAATTTCTTTAAAAACAATTTCGTTAATATTAGGAGGTTGTAATAAATCCATTCGACTATCCAAAAGTCTTAATTCCCTTTTTGATACAGTTTTTGCCTCTAAATTTTTAAATTAAGACTTCAAAAAATAATTTTTAATTAAAAACCTTTTAATTTTGAATATTCTGCTGTTCTCCTCAAAACTGCTTGCATTGAAGAAGTTGTTGCTTTTAAAGTATCACAAAGATTTCCTTCTGTTTCCTCCCACCAGGCAAGGAAAAGTGCAGAAAATAAATCCCCAGTACCAGTAAATATCGAGTCAATATAAGACATTTCAAAACGATAAAAGTGAAGAAAATTGGATTGATCTTAAAAAAAGAGGAAATAATTTTTTTGAAAGAAATTAAAAAATAAAATCTCCATTAAAGCGGTATCCGCTAGATATGGGTTTTCTTAAAGATTATCGGTTTATTACTTGTGTAAAAAATATTTACCAATATACTCTAAAAAATTCCCCTTAACTATTTAAATTCTCTTTAAAAATAAAAAAAATATATTTTTCTTTTTACCTTTGTCAGAAAAAATTCTTTCAGAAGCAAAACAAGCCAAAAAATCTTTCCCTTCAGAATTAACAAGCAAAGAAGTACAAATAACTGCATTAAGATTTGGAAAATTTAAATGAAGTTTTTTAATAGCTTTTAAACAATCTTCTTCAGTTTTTACAGGCATTCCCCCACTTAATTCACTAAAAAATAATTAAAAAATTATTTTTTAAAATCCTTTACCTTAATTCAAAAGCATTTGGTGTTATTATATTAGCTAAAGGAAGTATTTCTTTTTTATAAATTGTACATAATTCTTTTGGAACATACTAAATTTAAAATTAAAAAATTTTTTTTATTTTTTTTACATAATTTCCGTTATCTCCCAAAACTGGATCACAAACTGGAAAAAAATAATTTTTTGTAAAATAAAAACAAAAGAAAATAACCATATAACAAATCAGGTTTGTATTGTTTACAATGCTTCACAATTCCAGCCACTTTTTGAAGAAAAGTAGGCTCTCCACAATAACCTTTTAAATTAATTAGAATTTAAGTGGAAACCTCCCCCCAATAAAATAAAAAATAATTTTTTTAATAATTTAATTTTTCTAATTTTTAATTAAAGTACATACCAGTCAAAATATGAGAATATTCTCTTTCCAATTTATTATCACAAAGTCCTTCAAATATTTCTTCTAAATCTGACGCATTCAGGCGCTGCCCACGAGCTCCTTTTTCATATTCTAAAAATTTTTATTTAAAAAAAATAAAAAAATAATTAACGTGTATGATTAGAAAAATGAACAGAATTAATTGAATCTACTTCAAAACCAAATAACTAAAAAGAAAAAAATTTTAAAATTATTTTAATTTAAATACTTGTAACGGAAAAACTGCACATTTATTCCCAACATAGCCATGAACAACATGACTTTGAATGGAAAGAACTCGACATTCTGGACGTTCCTAAACAAATATTTTAAAAATATTTCTGACATTCTCCCTGATTTTTTAAAAAGAAAATATTTTTAAAAATATTTACAGAATAATTCAAAATTCTCCCTCAAAATTCTGGGGGAAAATTCTATCTAAAAACCTGTATTTACAATATTAAATTTAAAACTCCCTTAACATACCTTTTTAATAATATAATTAACTTCGTTTAGTCGTTGAGAAAGAGAATTTTGATTATTATTTGAAGAATTTTTAGGAGATGATGACATCCTTTTTAATTAATTAAAAAATTATTATTTTATTTTTAAATAGAGTATTTATTAAATACAAAAATTAATAAAATAATAAAAAAAAATAAATATTTTTCAATAAATTTATTTATCTAAATTATCGTCATCAGAATTATTTTTCTCTCCATTATTTTTTTCCTTTTCAATATTTTTCTCTTTTCCATCATTATCATCCTCGCTATCATCACTTTCTTCTAAAAATTCTGTCCAAGCATTCTCTCGCCGTTTCCTTTCTTCTTCAGTTTCTTGTCTTTTAAATTTCTCTTTTCCATCCCAATTAAAAGCCTTTTTTAAATTTATTTTTAATTAAATTAATTTTCTTTTTAAAAAATACTTTTACTGTCCGTCCAGCAATTATACGTCCATTAAGTGCTGCTACAGTTAAATCTGCTTGTTCAACATTATCAAAAGTAATTGTTATTACTCCTTCGGGATTTGACTGAAAAAAAAAGAATTTAAAAATCCCAAAAATCCCCTTACCTCGTACAAAACAATTTTCTTTACAGTCCCGAAACGTTGTTCACACAATTTTTGTGTGTCCTAAAAATTAAAAAAAATCTAAAAAAAATTTATTTTCAAGCTGTTTACCTCTTTAAGACTAAAAATTTTCTCAGGTTTTTGATCAATTTCTTCCAAAGAAAACATTCCTTTCAAAACAACAGTACATTCACAACGATTTCTGAAATTGCGAGGCTTGTCCGGTTTCCATTGGAAAATTCTGAAAATTGAAAAAAACTTTAAAAATAAATTTAAACCCAACTTTTCTTGTTTTTCTAAAAATTTCTTCTTTTGAGCTCCACTTAAACGTTGTCGCTTCTTTGAGGGGTCAAATTCGCCTTTCAATTCAAACTTGGCACGTTCAACATGAATTTTATGGGCAGTATCCCATTGCCAACCATCAAGTATTTGTAAAGCTAATTCAACCTTTGAAAATTTAAAAAATTAAGAAGGAAAAGGGGGTAAACCAAGGATTAGGCCCCCCATTTTCCTTCCCCAAGTTTTTCCCTTTATAAGTACAAAATGATCAGGCTTCTGCTTTATATTTAAAGACATTGCAAAAAATTAATCTTTTATTTATTATCTCCCATTGAATATGCCAAAGGAAAATAGAGTGAAATTGGGATGTGATGAAAGTCTGACAATCCTGTACTTATAAAAGAAAAAAATTGGGGAAGAAAAAAGTGAGGCCTTATACTTGGTTTACCCGGAAGAAGTTAAACTAATTCTCAATTCAGACTAAAAATTAGTAAAAAAATGTTCAAATCCACAAAAAAAGTAGGCCAAAATATTACCCAATTAACAAAAAATTCTGTAAATAACACCATTGTTTTAATGTCAAAACTTTAAATAAATTATACATTTTACCGATTCCATTTTCACATAACAACAAGTTCCATCTCCCTTCGGTTCTCCAGTTTCTTTTATTCGATAAAGTTTGATTTTTGGTTTTCCCGTCCTCGGATCTTTTTGAACAACTCCACATTTTGTCATAAATTTAACATATTCTTCTTCATCTATAGTTGGAGGAAATCCACTTGTATAGACCGTTGTGTTCTTTTCTTCATCCATTTCAAACCATCCTTGTTGTCGTCGGGCAGCTTCTGCTTCAGCCCAGCGCCTTTTTGCCTCACGTTTTTTGAGCTAAAAAATATTAGAATTAAGGAATTTAAAAATTAGAGGAGCCGCCAAATGAGAAAGTCAAAAGAAATCCTTCTACCAAAAGTGAGTTAAACCTAAAAAAACTTCCACTAACCTGTCTCTGTTCCTTTGTAAGTTTAGTTACTTCTTTCTTCGGTTCCCCATCTTCTGTTGATTCCTCTTTTAAAACAACTTTAGGTGCTTCTGGTTTTGGCATACTATCATAATCATATTGAATACCATAATTTGCATTATAATATGCAAGAAAGTCTTCATTTACTTCGACATCAGGCAACCATTGTTTACTAGTCTCATTCCAAGTCATTGGGACACCTAAAAATGAGGAAACACGTAGCCATCTCAAAGCAACAATATCCGGTTAGGAATCTTTTGCATCGGCGTATAATCGCGGACATTTCACCCATCCCCCGTCATCAAAATTTCCTCAAAAATATTAAAAATTCAAAACTAACCATTCCAAACACATTTATATGGATCTGAAGTTGAAGACGTTTGTGTTTCTTCAATATTCTGGTTAGTCTTAGTTTCTTGAGTTTCTGTCTCACCATCTGCCATAATTCTAACAAAACATTTTTCATATTAAAAAAATTTTTCTTAAAAAATTAACCGTCTTCTACAGATTTTCAAAAAATAAAACATTTTATTTCAATATTTATATGCATAAGCAAAAAAACACAAACTATAATCATACATAAGAGAGATATTAGAGTAGGTAAGAGTTCGTTTAGACAGGGAAGGGCAGAAGTTATTCTTTTATTTTCTACCTCGCTTTGTTCAAAAATTAAATTAATCTAAATTTTTTTAAAAAAACTCCCTATTAAAAAATATTTTTTCACAAAACTTTGCCCATCCCTGAATGGATTTTAATGTTTTTATAAGTCTTAAATAAAAGAGATCACTTTGAGGCAGTGTTTTGATCCATTGACTGTGAAAGTTAATATTTTAACCTTCCAAAAATTAAATAAAAGGAATGTGTAAAATAATATAAAGAAAAAAATAATTAAGTAAAACACTCATCTCGATGAAAGAAATATAATAATAAATATATAAAAGAGAGAGGAGAGATTAAAGTCAAAAACAATAATAATAACGCAAAATCATTTTTGTGTGGTTATTATAAGGTAAATGAAAGATTTGTCTTCGCCGACTTTTTTCTCCAAAATTGTTTGGGTAATTAATATATCGGATACCGAGCCGGGACGATCCCAAATTCGTTGAGTTTTGGGGTGGAATGACTTTTAGTCACAAATCCTAATCAGAAAAATCTTAAATTACTTTTTAAGTTAACTTTGCTTATACAAATAATTTTCCTAATATCTGATACCCTTACCACAAACATTACAAAGCCCCCAAAATTAAAAACCGTTGAAAACAAATCTTTTGAAAATTTTTTTGCATTTAGAAAATTATTTCGTTGACCCGTCTACGAAGAATTTAATGTAGAGCCGAATTTCCTCTTTCGCAAACGATTTCCACTCGTTCGATTGTCCAACTTTTTGTGACGTTGACTAGCCATAATTTGTTCTTGTTCGACTTGTTCCTTTAAAATTTTATTTAAATATTTTTTAAAAAATTAAAAATAAACCAAATATGAAAGACATTTAGGCAAATAAGTCTGAATATTGTGACGATCATCGTGTTGAATTGTGGGAAGACAAGGAATTGAATTTCCACTAGGCTCTAACCGATCAAATAAATGCACAAATGGGTCAACAAATTTACGCGCCTCACGCAATTTTTCAGCAGTAAACCCTAAAAATATTGAGAGATAAATTATTCAAGTATATTTGATTTATGAAAAAAGGAAAAAACTAGCCAGTTATTTGGCATATAAGAGATTCAGGTTCGTAACTACACAGAAGTGCAGCTGCAGCCAATTCACGATAACGAAAGCGCAAACTTCCATGAGAGAGTATCACCAGATCCAATATCTTTAAAATAAAAGTAAAAATGCTAGAAAATTCAAAAAAAAACCATAGCAACTCTGACAAATTCTCCACGCATTAATTTAGGCACAGAACATCTTTGGTCAGGATAAATATGGCCACTGGAATATTCGCGTTGACTAACATAGCTAATATCAGCTGCAGCGGTGTGGAGAAGAATACGAGGTGAAAGACCGATGTGAGAAAGTTGCATTCGAGGAAACGAAGAATTGAAGGAAAATACGCGTCTGGCACAAGTCTTTCGAAATGTTTTGGTCTAAAATTTTTAAATAAATTTTTTAATCTCAAATTCACAAGAACCCTCTTTTCTGATGAACTTTCTGAACCATTAGGCGTTTGATTCTCACTATCATCCCCTTCATCCGTCAAATTTTCATCTTCTTCAGGCAAAGCAGTAACAATGCTAACATTCAAACCAGCAACACGAGAACCAGCGCTTAACATACTGCAGTCTGATGCGTTGGAACAACGAGCTTCGTTTTCTATGAATTTAGATGAAAAAAATCCCCACAAAAGTAAGTAGTTTTAAAAAATAGGATAGATTGGTAGACAAATCACACAATAAAAGAACGTGCAAGGTAAATAATTTATCTCAACTAACCAGCAGAAACAATAACTTGCTGAGCCGGCAACACATCACAAGTATTCATTAATTGCATGTAAAGTGCCAACCAATGAACGGCAGTAATTGGATAACAATTCCACTCTAATCGTTGAAGCATAATTTCCTCAAGATCACGAATATCCTGATCCTCGCAACAACAAAAATAAAAAAATCTTTGAATTAAATTAAAACTCAAAACTAACCCATCAGTGAAATCAGCAATTTCGGCTACTTTTGGAGGATAAATTTCCTTAAAAAATAATTATAAGTTTAATTTTTAAAAAATAAATTTTTAATTAATTTTTTTTTTGGCTCAGAATGTGCTTGTTCTCTAGAAAAGAAAGTGTCGCTAACCGATAAGCGTTTTCACTAAAAGTCCCATTGGCCCACATCTTTGACCAATTTCAGGACCCCTGCACAAATCATCACAGCCAAAACAACTCCACAAAAAGCACCTTTAACAGATTCTCTACCAACTTAACCATAGAGTCCTACACTTTATTCACTTTCTTTGTCTTAAAAAAAGCCTCACTAAAAGTAATTTACCTCAATTTTAGAAGCAATGACAAGAGCAGTAGATCCAATTAATTGAAGATTCCCAGGAGAAATTTGATGATTAAAGTCAAAATTGCTGCCTAAACCCAAATAACGGTCAACATAGTCAACACATAGGTGGAAAGTTTCTCGATGCAAATGTTTGTCTGCACAGACCTGAAGGGCCCAAAATTAAGTAAAAAACTTTAAAATCTCAAAGTACATCCATTAGCCAGTCAATAAGCATTGCTCTCATTTTAGGATTAATCCTTTGTTGACGTAAAAAGAGATGCGGGTCACGCTTATATTTTTCGTCTTTCTCGCACAACAATGACCAAACCTTTTACAAAATCAAGTTTTCCATAAAATTAAATTTAAAAAACCTTTTTTGGCGATCCTAAATCGCTCGAGTCAAATTGAAAAGGAGGCTCGCCAACTCCATCATCAAAGTCAATGTCTGGAATGTCGGCTGGATATCGCTTCCTACGTCCAGATTTTGGTGATCGTGGCGGAGTTATTACATGATTGTTGTTTATCATAATTATAAAATAATTTGGTTTTGTTTAAAAAAAAGAGATTTCTATAAATAACTTTAATTAATTAAAAAATTTTAATGAAAAATAAAATAAAAATTTTTAATAAAATTTTTCAAGATAATACAGAATGCCATAAGGATAGGATACAATTTTTAAAGCAACAATTTAAATCACTACAATTTGACAATAAATAATGCTTTAATTTTTAAGCCGTTCTTCCAAGGATTTCAAAGTTAACATAAACAAATATTACCGCTCACTTTTTTAGATTTTTCTCTATTTTTTAGTTATTGAAGCAGAAAATATGAACGATCTAAACCGTTCTTCTCTCCTTCTTTGAAAAACCGTTAATAATTTTTAAACCCTTTCGAAATTTAAAATTACACAAAAACAAAGAAAAAATTTTTAAATTTATTTTATCAAATTATAAAAAAATAAAGACAAGATTTCAAATTTAAATGTTTTATATAAATTTAGTGGTAATTCTTTTATTAAATGATTTACAAATTTTAATTTTTTTGGTAAAAATATATATAAAGTAGAATTGTAGGAGGAGGAGTAATATGCCGCTTGTCACAGTTAAAATAGTAACCATCAAATCAATTTATTTATATTATAAAAATGTGGAAGAATTGAGGCTTTAAAAATTATTTTATTTATTTTTATTGTTTTTAGAAGAGGAAAAGTTGTGTGAAAAGTTTGTAGGAAACAGATACAAAATAGTTTATAGATTTCTTATTTTATTTTATTTGTTCATTATTTACAGACAAAAATAAAGGATATATTTATGAAGAAAGGGTTAATCTGCCTAATTAACTAAAGAAAAGACCTAGAATCATTTTTAAGAAATATTTAAGTTGGGAAAAGCTTATTTTTGAAGAAAACCCTTTTTTAGTTTTTATTTTTAAAACACTCAAAAATTCTTTTAACCAGAATATTTAAGAATTTTTCACTCAAAACAAGCTTTTAATTAAAAGAAAAAGTTTGGACTAAAAAAAAATAAATGCAAATCAATTGGCGTTTATTAAAAATATTTGGTTTAAAGTAACGAGATAAAGTGAAATTTTAAAGGAAGAAAAATAAAAGAAAACAAAAAAACAAAAAATAGCTTTATTTAAGTATTGCGCGGAAAAATAAGGTGTTTTTCTTTTTAGTTTTTCAAAAAAGGGGCTAGCGGACAACAAGAAAAATATATAACGATTTATTTCGGTTTACAAATTTGTGTGAAAAATTTGTGAAAAATAAATGTGAATAGAAAAGAACTTGCTTTCTATAAAAATATAATTAAACGAGTTCGTTTGTAATTTTGTGGCAGAATAATGAGAGAAAAAAATATTAGTTGAGTATTTATTTGTTAAAACTCTAAACAGGGCCATATTTCGTATCCTCGAAAGTTACTACTTCCAAAAATTTTGACAAAAAATGCATGAGTGTCGAACTCTGGAATTTTAAAATCTTAATTATTAATTTCTTTGGATGATTAAAAATAAACTTAAATTCATTTTACTCTCAACTAATATTTATATATTTATGAATTACTAATAAAATACATTCAAATTAAAAATAATATTCTAAAAATTACTAGCTTTGGAAGAAAAATTTTGTCCAGGACCATTCTTTGCCACTCTTTCCATCACAGTAGCAATTGCATCAGACACATTTCGATCTTGAGTTTCACTTAATTTTGATGGACTTAAAGGTGTATCACCAATCTGAGGTGAACGATCAGGAAGGAGAGCCATTTCTGCGACGTTCCTCTGTTCTATAGTCATTTCTAGCATTTCCTGATTTTTAAATTAAAATTTAAAAGTTAAATTTATTTAAAACTTATATACCTTCCTTTCATCTTCAACTCCATTTTGTAATTGATGTACAGAATATTTTCGTTTTTGTTTTTTGCATTGCTGCCCGCATTGATCAGAATTAAGTAACTGCCTTTTAACAACTTGTTTTGGTTGTTGTTGTTGTCCTTGTTGTTGAACTAACGGTTGGGATCTATAAAAATTATTTGACAAATTTTGCTGTTGATTCGAATCATCCGATTGTTGCAAAACTAGTTGTTGTTGCTGCCTTTGATCTAAATTATTATGATTTTGATGTTCACCTCCATAACGCATTGGTTCTATCGAATCCAAATCATCAATTCCTTCACCCAAAATTCCCGGAACATTCAAATCATTTGCATCACCAAAACCACTTTCAGCAAAATCCGAAAGTTGTGAGAAATTTCGTGGCTGTTGTTGTAAAGAATTCTGATGTGTTTGTTGAGTGATATTTTCCATTGATTGTCTCTGATGTTGAAACCTCTGTTGATAAAATTCAACGTGATTAGCATGAGGAGATGATTGTTGCATATGAGCCATCATTTGTTGTTGTTGTTGCATTAAGTGGCGGTTTTGAGAAGAAATTGTTTGATCTATTGTGTTTTGCTGTTTTGGTGGTTCAACATTTGTGTCCAAAACTGGTGTGCTTGAATGTTGATGTTGTGGATCTTTAATATAAAAGATATAAATATAAACAATTTATCAAAATAAAATCATACTTCCAAAACTTCCAGCAGAATGCGGAGGAGTTGGCCCACCAGCAGTAGCAGAAACAGGTGTTAAGTGTCCAGGCCCACTTCCTTGCATACCACCACAAGTTCCTCCTCCACTTCCATTACCAATTGGTGTCCCGACCATTTGTTGATTGTGAGATGGTGGAGGAGAGTAGAAAGGTGTAGCGCTAGCAGGTGATTGAGAAAAGTAATGTGGAGTTCCTGGAGTTCGAAAGGCTTGCTGTGATTGAACCAATTGTTGCGGATTTTGTTGTTGACAATGAGATTGATTTGTTATGGCAGCAGTAGATTGATAATCGTTTAAAGCCTGAAATATTTAATTTGTTATTAGCTTAATTCAACTAAGGATTCAAAGTGATTGTTAAATCAAAATATTGTTTACTAGTTTAGTCTATTATAAAATCATACATTTTGTTGTTGTTGCATACCGCATTGAGACATTTGATTAGGTGTGTTTGCCCATGGCGCTTGTTGTTGAGGAGATACATAGCATTGATTTTGCAGTGTTTGTTGCCCATGTTGTTGCTGTTGAAGTGCGACAACATACTGTTGTTGTTGTGACATAGGAGCACCAGTAGGTTGCATCGGTGAACCTTTTTGAGGCGTTCCATAAGGGCAAATAGAAGGTGACATATTATTTTGAATGACATTTGTATCTTGCTTTTGTATGGCAGGTTGTCCAGGTAATCCAAGATAATGCTGCTGATACTAAAATTTATAGAATAATTAAAACAAAGTGAAATGAATATCTTTGCATTAAACCAAATAACCCAACCGTTTGTTGTTGCTGCTGATAATGTTGTTGAGCAGCAATAACTTGCCCCGGTGGAACTTGACAATTTTGCATGTTTGAAGGCATCACCATACCACCACACATTTGCTGAGGTATGCCAGCATTCACCGCAGCCATTCTTTGCTGTTGTTGTTGCTGCTGCATAAAAGCCATTTGTTGGTGTTGTCGAAATGCAGCCATTGCTGCCTGCTGTTGTTGCTCTTGGAGACGCAATCGCTGCTCGCGTTCACGTTCCTCCTAAATACGAAAAAGGTAATTTGGATTAATATTTAAAAGCAAAATATTGACAACCTTCTGCTGTTGCTTTTTAGAGATTCGCTTTCTTTTCTTCGGTAACTCTTCCACAGTTAATTGAGTGTTGTTAATCGGAGGACCGATAGAAAACATCTGACCAGATGACCCTTGTTTATCGGCACCAGTAGTTGGAATAATCATTTGTTGAGGCACATAATTTGTAGGCATTCCAAAATAAGGAGACGGGGCGCCAGGTGGTGAAGCAACGATTCCACCTGGTGCTGGTTGACCATTAGCACCGTAATGCGTAGCCTGGCGATGATATTGTGATGGGGAAGAGCCTGTAGGTGGAGAACCAACAATCATGTAATGTTGTTGTGGAGTGTTATTTATCACCCCTGATGGACCAACACTATACATCATTGATTGTTGTTGAGCCAACCTTTGCTGTTGTTGCTGATACATTTGCTGAAGATTAAAGGTGTAATAAAATTTAAAAAAGATAAATTCTAATAAAAATTCGAAAAATAATTTTTATAACAAAAAATAACCTGATGTTGTTGCGGATTCATTGGAACACCATATTGATGTGAATTCACTTGTTGTGCTTGGCCCATTGCATTGGGGTGTTGTTGTTGTAGAGCTGCCATTTGTTGCTGTTGCTTAATCATCATCATTTGTTGCTGTTGAGGTAAAGGCGTAACATTTTGCTGTAGAATTTGTTGTGGTTTCTGTGTTTGTTGAATAGCAGGGGAAGAAGCATTATTGCTAAAAACGTTATAAAAACTAGTTTTATGGGGATATAAAAAATTCACTTCAATAAATTGACTAGAAGGGGGCTATTTTCAGCAGCACCAGCACTTGCCAAAGTTTGATTCTGCGTATTAATAGTAGAATGTTGTTGTTGTGAGATTGGCGCTGAATGCATTAAATATGAACCATCGTTGTTTTTATTTTTATTAGAATGCTGTTGATGTTCATTTTGTTGTTGAAGAATAGATGTTGATGAAGGGGAAGAAAAAGAAGGTTGTACTGGGCAATAGGGATGTGAAGGTGGTGTTCTCTGCTGTGGAGTTGTTGAATTTGAAGAGGATGAGGAGGAATTATGTTGTCTTTGGACATGATGTTGTGAATTTAAATGAGGTGAAGATTCAGCAGAAACTGGCACTAAACGCTCTATAAATAAAATTGCTCTATAATTTATTTGTTAGCCGGGAACGGGGTATTTTGCTAAAATCCCGTTTTTCAGGATTTCCAGGTTTTCGACTAAACAACGCTCTATAAATAAAATTAACAGCAGATTATTGTCTTTGCGAGAATGACTCTGAACTGGAAAGGCCCGGGCCAGTTTGAAAGAAAACCAGACACCAGATTCGGCAATTTGAAAATTCCAAACTCTATTTAATTATTGACGAATGCCTATTATATTAAAAGAACAGCAGGAAAACCTTTTCAAATTCCTTTTAATGCACCAATAGGATAGAAACAATATTAATAAAATATACTTTTAGACGTCTGTGCAACACTTGACATGGAAGCCCCAGCAACGTTTGGTGTTGCTGTCTTTCCAGGTAAATAAGTAACTTGATGTCTTTGCGAGTTCCGTTGGTGTAAGGCTGCAACTGCCTCCAGTTGTTCTTTTTGAATAAGCTGAATGAGGGTTTGTTTTTGACTCCTTAATTGATGAAGACGCGCTCTTCTTTGCGAAAGATAATCAAAAGAAGCCCGTTTATCAACAATTTGAATAACTGGTGATAAACAGTTGAGAGATGATTTTAATTGTATAGAGTTAATACCTTTAAAATGAAATTAGAAAAATTATCAAAAATAGGCAAACCTAATATATTCAAGGCTTTGGAGTGGTGTAAAGCAAGCCGATTGAATTGAGAAGCAGCTGCTGAACTTACACGCAAAGACAAACGTTTAGACTTTGCTAGCACCTCCGAAGTCCCAGTCGATTTACCTTTCTCTTTATCTAGAAAGACTTCAAAGCTTTCTAGTTTAGAGCTACTTGTAGCTTCGGTCTCGTCAAATGAAGTACTTTGAAAATAAGTTGGTGGTAATTGTTGTTTTAAGTTTTGTTTTTCGTTATTAATAGAGGTACAAGGAACTTGAGAAACGTTGGTCTGAAAATATTAAACGTTACTTTATTTAAGAATTTCGACAAACAATTTAATTTTTGTCAATGAAATTAATTTTTAACTAGAGATTAAAAAAATAAACCTGCTCAGTTTTAAGAGAAGATGTTGAAGCTGCACTTAAACAATTAGTTTCTTGTTCAGTTTGTATTTCTTCTTGTTCTTTTTTCAAAAGTTTTGGTTCTTCCTGACGATTAGACGAAAGAGGAACGGCCTTCTGTTTTGGTGTTGGTAGTGCAGGTACAGCAAACGGTTCTAAGGATGGTGATTTTTGCTGTTGTTGGGAGGCAGCAGATGTTGATGGCGGAGAGGGGAGATTCTGTTGCTCTAATTTATCGTCTCTCTTTTCAATTAATGTATTTGGTGTATTTACTTCTGAGTCAACAAAGGAGTTGGGGAAGGAAGAGAAATGGGGTGTTTCTGTATTGATACTTTGACTAGGCTCTGAAAAAAATTGAGATATTGAAAAGTTAAAAGTTTATAAAAATGCAAATTTCTAACCTGTTAATGTATTTGTTAAAGAATTTGAAGTATTTTTATTATCACAAAGCGTTCTAGATTGCTCAAACAAAGAGGCACTTAGTTCTGGATCGAATTCTTGTTTAATACAGTTGTCAGTATTAGCAAAAAGAGAAGGCGGTGGAGAAGGAGAACGTTGTTTATTTAAGGCACCGGAAGTAGAAGTTGAATTCAACGCTGACAACGAATGATTGAAATTGTTTTGGTTTGTAGTGCTTATAGCACCAACTGGATTTGAGATTGAAATGGAAGAGGAAGCCTTTGTAAATGCCTCGTCAGCAAGCAAAATACAATTATTTTTGTTTATTTCAGTTTGCTGAAAAGTAAAGAATTAAAGGAATATAAATATTCTTTAAAAAATTTTTGTAGAGGGTACAAGCATTACTTTACAGGAAAATAAAGGGGTAAAAGTCAAGAATACGTACCACTCACCAATCTGGACGAATTATATGTCATTTGAAAGAGCTCGGCGAGAGGAGTCGAATGACATCAAAATCAACTGGCGGTCTCAACTCTGAGCTGAGATATAGGCCCCTGAAAATCGAAAAACCATAGGGGGAGTAAGCTCAATTTTGGAGTGAAAATTTCGAATATGCAAATAATAGCTCATTCGAAAGAGCTCGTCGAGCTGAGTCGAATGACACCAAAATCAACGAAATCCGACTTGATTGGACAAAGTTATAATCTTTTCTTTTAGCTCCTTACCTATGTCATCTGTGGAGATTTTTGCTGCCACGGAGGCCCCAAATATGTCCAGAGCAAGGGAGATAGGAATAGGTTTATGTTACGAGCCCAGACCCAGCGCCCGTAGACTCCCCGCGAGGCGCGTGCCGCAAAACCCCGCGCGAAGCGCGGGGTTTTGCACAAGCGCCTCGCCGACGCCCCATAGGTTTATGTTGACCATTTTGAGCTTGTTTATCTCGTCTCAAAATTAAGATTTCGAGCTGATTTTGGCGTCATTCGACTCAGCTCGAGGAGCTCTTTCAAATGAGCTATCATTTGTATAATATCATTTTTACAAGTATTTGATAGATATTTTTGACCGTTTTAAACCCCTGTATCTCAGCTTAAAGTTGAGACCGCCCATTGATTTTAGTGTCATTCGACTCCTCTCGTCAAGCTCTTTCAAATGACATATGATTTGTCCATATTGGTGAGTGGTACGTATTCTTGACCTTTTCCAATAAAGGTTACTAAAAAATCAAAATGCTCTATATTTGGGATTTGATATATGGTTAATTATAGCTGAATTTAATTTTTTAAATTAAAAACAGAACATTTGATTCGTGTACTCATTGATATAAAAAATATAGGGATAAAAATAATAAAGTTTAAAACATTATCAAAAATTAACCTCTTTGGTTCCATTTATTTCAACTTTCTCTTTATCGTTTCCACCATTATTACACTTTCTTCCTTCAAAAGAAGCAGACTTTAATCTCAATCTATTAAGAAGGGATGTTTTTGCAGCCCAATTTTTATTGTTGCTACTATTTTTATCTTCAGAAGTCTTTACAATATTTTGAATATTATCAACGTGATTAAACTCAATTTGTTGTTTTTGAATGCAATTGTTGTTTGAGAAAGAGGGGGCAGAAGAATAAAATGGTGGAGAGGGAATACGATTATTTTGTTGTTGTTGAGATTGCTGCACTCTTTAAATTTAAAAAAATTTAGAAAAAAACAAAGAAGTGATTAAATAAGAAATTTAGTTAATCCAAATTAAAAACTAAAATCTAATTCTAAATTAAGAGAAAATTAGGCGATATTTGAAGCTTATCATCAGAAGGCTTCGGTTACACTCTAAGACCGTATCCAGGGGGTCGTTTTGGAAAGAGACTCTAGCTCCCCGGATACGCCCTTGTTATCCACTATACGGTTTAATTAGTGGGTAACGTGCGGTTAAATTAATAAATTTTAGCTCATTAATTCAACAAATAAAAACAGATAGAAAGAAAACCCCCAAATCAATTCCCACATTAAAATCAAAGTTTCAAACCTTATTCTACTTTGTATTTCCTGCAATTTGTGTTGCTGTTTTTTGTTGTTGTTGTCCGCTGGGGATGAAGTTTTAAAGACGCCGCTCATACGGCATTCAGTCGACTTTTGCTCGCTAGCCGCCGACTGATAATTTTTGTTTTGATAATTGGGGATGTTTTGTTGCTGACAAAAGGAGAACGTTTTTTGATGTTTTGTTGTTGATACCGTAGTTGGAGAGTAAAAACCAGATACGGTAAAATAAAATTTGAAGAAATTTTATTGAAAAATTCTGAAGAATTAAATCAGCGGTGATTGAAAATATATTTATGTATAGAGGGAGAAGAGTTCACCGAAAATCTGAAAATTTTAAAAAAATCAAAATAATCACAAAATAAAATTTGTAGATCTAACGCTTTTCATTTTAAAAATTTTTTTCCGTAAAACGCAACTTTCCTCAGTAGCCTTATTTTAATTTTTATCATCCTTGTGAGATTTTGTATAGAACAAGTTAACATCCAGAAGAGAGGTGAGAAGCTTGTATCGATCTCCTCTAGTTCGGTATATTTTAGTACAATACAGCTGACATTAGGTAAGGTTAGAGAGCTAAGAGTCAAGTTAAGCGATCATCTAGAGTGAAAGTTTGTGAATAAAAATTTGCATAGTGCCGAGATTTTGGGTAATACGCGGTAACGCGCTTTTGTGAAGCGGCTGACCCAACGTCCATAGTCCGACGACGTCCGACAACAACGGCTCGTATTAAGCAAAAAGGTATGAACGTATTGGCCGCCATCGTGAACTACTCTACGTGAAATGTAGGGTATAGTAAATACGATTAGAGCATAGAAATTACAAGCGAGATAGTGTAAATAAATCGAAGTAGCTAGACGAATATACAACCAGCTAGTTGGTTTGATATGTGTGTCTAACCTGAAAATCGATTGATATGGTAAGTTTTTGCTGACTGTCGCGCTAGCTCGCTTCATCTTCCACCTCTTTGTTTATTCAAGATAAAGTGCAAGTGCGAAGTGCAAAAGAGTGTTTTATTACTGAGAGTGCTGACGAATAAGAAAAGAATGGAGAGTATAATGAGTAGAGCTAGGAACGGGATCGGGACCCGGACCCGTTTCCCGGTTTCCGGGTCCGTTTTCCCGGTTTTTTTGAAGCAACCGGGTTGAAACCGGGGACGGGTTTTCCCGGTTTCCCGACCCGGAACCCGGCCGGTCCATTTTTCAGAACCCGTTACCCGGACCCGGTCCCGGCCATTTTTATACCGGGAAACCGGGTAGAATATTTAGTGTATTTGCGTACTTTGATATTAAATTTTTGAAGGAAAAGGGAAAGGAATAGATATTTATAAATTCCAATATTTTTTTTCATGGGTCGATGGTTGAGTGGTTAAGTTGACTGACTTCACTCATCTGGTCAATTTATAGGGATGGGTCAATTTATAGGAATTTATAGGGACGTACATCTTTGTTAGAGCTTAACAGTTGCAGTTATGCTTTTCAAATTTATCAGACTACTCGGATGAAATGTGTCTTGTTAGGTTACCTAAACCTTACAAGTAGACACAAAATAATTTTTGTTATTTATTCTTCCTAAAAATCAGCTTAATTTTTTAATTAGATATTCTCTTTTTTAGACCTTTTCTGTTTGTCACTCTCTTCTTCGAATAAAATACAGAATTATATAAAAGAAAGGGACCGTCTAGCATTATATTTTTGCTCATCAGTTGTTTTCTAAAAGGGGCGGGGAGGGTATTTTCTGACCAGCCGAGAGACAAATGGAAGTGAGGGACCGTCTCTAAAAATTAATATACACTAATGTACTTTAGTGTCCGTCTGGAGAAAAAAAATATTTTTATTTATTTAACCTACCTTCCCTTCCCTACAATCTTATAAAAATTCAAAAAAAATTTTTTTCTTTAAAAATATTTTTATCAAACTAAACATTCTTAAATAAACTAAAATATAATTACTCATAATGAGGCCAAAAAACAAAAGAAAATTTACATATATTTTTTAACAAATCAAAGAGAAAATAATTAAATATATTAAATTTTCATTTAAATAAGAGAAGAGAACAATTTTTGTATAATTTTTCTTTTAAAATTAACTGGCTGCCGCTTGGCGAGGCTGTTTTCGATTACGAGAGGGTGTCGTCTTTTGTGCCGATTTCAAATCTGGAAAAAAATTTTAAAAGGGGAGACTTAAATGAAAGGAAAAACAATGTCCTTCTTTTTATGGGCATTTCCCCTTATTTTTGCCTTAAAATTAAAAAAAACTAACCCAAATTATTTCGTGGAATCCATTCAAAATCCACATCATTTTTATTTGTCCCCATTTCATAATTGGAAGGGACATTTGAAATATTATTGCTACTTGGCTTATTTGAGGTTGATTTTCCTGAACTGCTTCGAGTAAACTTTAAAAAAGAAAATTTAAAAAATAATTTTTAAAAATTAAAAAAATAAACCTTTGTAATATAATGATGTGCAATTAATACCAAAATAACAACAAATCCAGCAAGTATCAAATAAATAAAATAACTAGAAAAAATTAGAGAAATTTTAATTATATTTTTACAAAAATTTTGAAAATCTTTTTTACTTTAGAAATATTCCTCTCATTGTCAGAATTTAATTTTTAGGACCAAGAAATTGCCAAAAAAAAATATTTTTTTGAACTTCCAAATAAATTCCCAATTTTAAAATTTCATAATATTCCCAATTCAATTAATTGTCTAAAAAAACAAACGTTTCTGTATTAAATCCAGTCTCATCTTCAGTAATTGTAACAGTTTCATTAAAAACGGCACTAACAAAATATTGTCCATCCTAAAAAATTATTTTTTTCCTAAAATTTCTAAAAATTAAAATAACCGTGTCAACATAATGTAAATCAACAACTAAACCCAATGGACGGCCAATAAAAACATCTGAAGGAATAAATGCATAATCAAAAGTAGCTTCTTGTTTTGGCTGCACTAAACGTTCATAACGAACTGTTGAAAACTAAAAAAATTTTTTTTATTTAATTATTGGGGTGAGTTAAGAAGGAGAAAAAAAGTGGTGACCAAAAAATTCTTTTTGAAGCAAAAAAATATATTTTAAAAATTGGTGGAAGGTGAAAGATTAACAATTTTTTAAGGTTCCCAACAGGGATGGACTAATTGAGAAAAAAAAGTTGGGTCAGATTTCGCATTCCGGATAACCCTGCTCATCCCTGTTCCCCCTAACATTAACTAACTATAAGAGGAATAATTTGGTTTGGTATTTAAATATTTTTAAAATAAATAAAAAAAAAACAAACATTTTGAGTATAATAAGAAAAATCAAGAGGATAACGAAAAGAAGTTTCACAACTTTTAACAATTAAATCCCGCTCTCCTTTGTTTGCAATTCCAATTAAAACTTTCACAATTTGGCCAGCAACTAATTCTCTCGAATTTGGACCCCCTTTAAGACTTGTCAAAATACACGAAGTTTGGACATCTGGAGAGGGGCCCATTGATTCTTGATTGCCATTTTCTGTGTCATCTTTCTTTAAAAAAAGGAAAAACTTTAATTTAAACTCAAATAATTACCAAAATTGAATTTTCTTTTTCTTTAATTTCCTCCTCTTTATTTTTATTATTGTCAATTTCCTCATCTTCAACAGCATCACTTTCTGCACGAATTAATGAAGGAACTAAAAAATTTGAAAATAAAAACTTTTAATTTAAACAAAAAATTACCAAAAGAAAATAAAATAAATACACAAACAGACAAAATAAATAATTGAAATTTCCTCATTATTTTTTACTTTAAAAACTTTAAATAATAAAATTAAATTTTAAAAGAATTTACGCGTAATTTGCCTAAATAAATGAAATAAAAATGAAGAAAATTTTAAATTGAGACTACAAAATTTTGCAACGAACTGCAAATTGATAAAATTAAAAAGTTGCTAATAATGGCGTTCTGTATTTTTTAGACAAACAATTTTTTTCTTTTTTTCCCTAACTTCCCTCTCATAAAGTTTTTCTTTTCTCTAAGTATGTGCGCCATGCGCTTTTTAGAATTACTTTTTGGCGTTTGGCGCACCACGCAAAATTTTGGCGCACATCCTTACCCCTTACATCGTAAAAATAAAATCTAGTGGAAAAACATAAAAAATACATAATTTAACGAAAAAAAACGGTAATTCCAAGGCTGGTCCCCCCCTTTTTTTCTGTTCCCCTGACCATTTTTAACTTTTTTGCTTGACATATAATTTACAATAGATCATTCGAAAGAGCTGTTCGAGCTGAGTTGAATGATACTATGATCGGTTCAATTTGGAAATTCTGAGCAGAATTATGAAGCTAAATCCTTGATGTACATGCATTTTGTGATGTTGAAAGGGATTAAAACAAATGGTCATAACTATGTTTATTTAAGTCGGATTTCGATGAATTTAGTACCGTTCGACTCAGTTTGAAGAGCTCTTTCGAACGATATATAATTTGCCATAAAAAGTTTAAAAAATCGAAAAAAATAGAAAGGAAAAAAAAGGGGGGGACCAGCCTTGGAATTACCAAAAAAACTTTTAAATGCTTCAAAAATTAGAGTTAAAAAACAACAAAATATTTCAAAACAAATTTAGAAAAAATCTCATCTTTTCTTTACAAATAATTTTTTAAATAAATTTTGATTAAATAATTTCTTTATTGGAGGATTCTTTCTAGCTAATTGACTTTCTTCATCTAATTGTCTAGCCACATTTCTGACATGTTCAACAGTTAAGAAAACAATTGCTTCAAGTAACCCCATTAATGTAAAACCCAAATAAAGTGCCATTGTCCCTCCAACTTCGCCTTTTTTTTTTAATTTTATTTAAAATTTGTTCACAAAATTTACTCATCATTTTCCATTCTGCAGAACGTAATTGATGAAAAGTTTCCTGCATAGCTACATCAGAAGGATAAACACGAAGATTTGGAGAATTTCTTCTTGATATTAATTTTTAAGAACTTTTTTGAGAAGTATTTTGTCCCCTTTTGAAAGAAACCCTTCCCCCCTTTTTTAAACAAAATCTAATAATTTAGAAAAAATTATCTCAAAGAAAACTTTTCTCTTACGGATCTAGTCCGTCTGCCTCAGCAGCACTTCTTGTATAAATGGCTGATTCAACAGTAAAACGATTAAATTCTTTATCTTCACGGCATCGTTTTTGAGCAGCATCGGCTCTTTGGAGTGCACATTCAGACAATCCATAAGTAATATTTTCAAAGTCTTCAGGTTTATTGGCAAAAACACTGAAGAAAATTTTAGTAAAAAAGAAACTTCAAAATAGGGTTGCCGTTTTCGAGTCGGTCCGACGTTCGAGTCATTTTTTGGGCCTCATTTTTATCCGTCCGGCCCGACCGAGTCTTTTTCGGACCAAAATTCGATGCCCGCCTCGATCTTTCTGACCGGGCCGGCAACCCTAATTAGTAATATCCAACTTTGTAATAAATTCACTAGGGCATTTCCACCCTCCATTTATTGCTAATTCACTGTTTGTTCTCCAAACACAATATTCATATGAAGAATTAAAAGGTACTAATTCTGAATTGGGCAAATCATTACGAATTATCTTTAAAAATTGGGGAGACTTTTTCTTTCATATAGAGAGACAAATTAAAATACTTTTAATATTTCTACAACTTGTAATATATTTAATGCATCTCTTTCCATTATCATATGTGCAGCCCCAACTAAAGGAATAATTGTTGGCCATTTAATGGCATCGCCAGCAAAACGAAGAAAAACCTTTTTAAAATTAAATTATTTTTTAAAAAACAGTTATTAAATTCTTGATATTTTGAATTTAAATTGTTAATTGTTAAACGAAATTGCCAATTATGTTTAACGAAGTTTAGAAGATAAAAACATGGTGTGACATTTTTACCAACTTACTTGATAGAACATTTTTAAAATAAAGCTAGTTGTACACACAGCAAACTACCAAACAAACGATATTAAAAAACAAGACTTAAGCCCCACCACAGGCAGAGCAATCCCAAAATTTATCCCAAGTATAGCCACTCTTTCGAGAGCCGAAGTTAATGTTTACCTCGAACTTGGGTAATTAAACCAACGACGACACCAAAACAACAAAATAAGGGTGAAAAGAATTAATAAATTTTAGACATGATATAAAATAAACGAATTTTTGAGAATTACAGACATAGAGAGAAACGCTAACATATTGACTCTCTTACTTTATTACTTCTCTAACTTGCATTTGTCTGTTACAAAATTTTAAAATGTAAAGATGGGATAAAAATAACGAAAACTCTAAACTCGCTTATTTTCAAAATGTCCAATCAAGCAAAATATTTAAAAATGTCGAAGAGAAAAAAAACTTACAAGAGCTAATGCAAAAGTATTTGGAGCAGCATCTGGTTGAATGCTTGAATTAAAATAAATTTTAATTTCGTAGTCTGTCACTTCTTTAAAAAAATAAAAAAAATTTTTAAATTTATTTAAAAAATATTATTTACGAGAAAATTCAACATCATTATTTTCTTCTTCAATTTTTGTTATTGTTGTGTTGTCTACACTTGTAATATTTAATCGAGTTTCAACACAAAATCCCCAAAAATAGAAGTTTTTATTTTTATATGTACATATTTTCCCTTCCTTAAATTTACCTGAGAAGTCCATTTACATCTTAATTCACATTTATAGTCAATTAATTTGAGGGAATATATACAACTTTAAATTTACTTTATTGGAGAGGGTTGTCTATCAGAATAAGGAACAACTTACTAAGGAACAACACGTTGCATTAATTCATTGTTTGAAATATCAGGAGAGCCATGTTCAAACACAGATTTTCTACAAACATCGAGAAGTGGTAATGGATAATCTCTTAAATTTTATAAAAATCAAAAAGTGGGATAAAAAAGAGAGGAAGGAAGGAGGAGGGGAGAAAAGTTAAATAAGGGAAGCTAAGAAGAGAATAAATACTAATGTATTTATTTTACAAATTGTTCTTTATCCACGTTTTGTGAAATTCAAAAAAATTAGGATTATGTAAGGAATTTCACAAAACTTAAACAAAATTTTCTCTCTTCTTCAAATTTCCCCCCACAAACTTTCTATCAAGTGGATGACATAAATAAACTAAAGGTAAAGCCATATGTTGTATTTTATATTTTCTAGAAGATGTCTGTATTTGATTTCTTAAATATTGTAAAATTAAATAATATAATTGTGCACACATTCCAATTAAACAAAAAATAGATGTTGTTATTGCTACAATTCTTTAGGGAAATTAAAATATTTTCTTCCCTCAAAATTAAAAATTACCTAACAATATAAGTTACTTTTGATGTCATAAAACGAAAACCAGGAAGTTCTGTATATTCACAAAAACTGTCCCAATGTCTACGTCCATTGCGCAAAAATCTTTTTATTATAAAAGATAAATTAATTAACATATCTAAAAAATTAAAACACAAATTTTTTTAAACAATTTTCTTAACTCCCTCGTAAACCAACAAACAATTTTTTTATTATTTTTGAATTTATCTTTAATATTCTTATCTTTTTTTATTTCCCGATAGGAATTTAAATCTCCACCTTCACTAACAATAAATAAAAATAAAAATTCCTTTTTCTCCCTTAGCATGTCTATTAAACATAAATTAAAATACCGGAAATAACTATATTTTAAGAAAAACTTCTCCCTTTTTATAGAAAAAAACAAAAAATTTTATAAAAAAATTATTTTAAAATATATTAATTATAAAAATTATACAAAGACGGGATATAGAGCAATTTTTCAAAAAAAAAATTGAAAGAATGCCGTAAACATAAATAATTTTGAAAATAAGGAAAATGAAAAAAGAAAGCAATATACATATTGGCCCAAAAATAAAGAAAACACAATTTTAAAAACAAAAAAAATAATTTTTAAATATTAAAATCGAACCTCTATGTTAACTATTTACATCCCTAAAAATTAGACAAAATTGTTAAAGTAGAATTGAGACAAACATGTCTAAAATTTTTTAGATTCATTTCGTTAATTTTTTGGAAATTCATGGCTAGGAAGGTAGAAAATCGGCCAACGAACACTCTATCCGGTCAGAAACCAAATCCGAAAAAAGAAAAAAACTTTTAATATGGGGACTTTTAAACAAAAATTCAAAAATAGAGGTTCGATTAAATTTAAATTGAAATTAAAAAAAGAATTAACCTAACAAATAAATGTTACATTTTTGTGTTAGTTCCTGACATCTAAATGTAAAAAAATTAGAAATAAATAAGTAGATTAAGTATAAAATATGGCAAAATAAAATTCACAAAAAATATTTTGAACCCTATTTTTGATTGTGATTTTGTTGTTGTTGTTGTTGGATATGAGGCAAATTATTATTTGATTGTGGAAGTGCACCCCCACTACTTCCACTAGCTTGGTTGATTAAAGCAGCTAAAATAATTAATTAAAAAATTTAATTTTTATTTCAAATAATTACCATATTGTTGCAATACGTTAAAATCAAGTCCAGAGGCGGCTGCTGCCAATAAACCTGGAGGAACTTGCTGAAAAATTTTTAAATTGCGAGAAAAGCTATACATTTCAAAAATAAGCAAATATTTATATTTTTCTTTCAAAGTTAAGGAAAAGGCCTATCCAAAAATTTAATTTAGCATTACCCCAAAATAGTTTTTAAAGTAACAATTATTTCTTATCATAAAACCCCCAAAAAATAATTTCCCGCCCTTTTTATTTATCAGACCAAAAATTAACCATTTGCCCTCCAAATGGCTGAGTAAACATTGATGTTGGAATTTGTTGCTGTTGTATTTGCTGTTGTTGAAGTAATGTATTTCCTCCACTCGTTGTTGGCATTGGAGGACCATTATTATTATTATTAGAATTTCTTCTCATTGCCTGTTGTTGCTGCTGTGCTATAGCCATTTGTTGTTGAATAGCAAAAAGAGCAGCAGCATTATTTGGGGGTGCTGCAGAAATTGGTGTTATAGAAGGCGGAACAAAACTTGGATTTGAAGGCAGAAAAGCCATACCAGGATTGGAAGGGGGACGGAGAAAGAAAGAATTAGATGGATTTAAGAGTGTTGGTTGTTGTGGTAATTGTTGAGGTTTTTGTAAGTTTTGGTGATGTTGTTGTGAATTTTGTGAAATATTTGATTGTTCGTTTTGGGAAGCTAAAAAAAATAAGAATTTATTTTAAACAAAAATGGCAAAAAATCAAATAAAAATAATTACATCCTCTCTGTTGTTGACTTGCACCACCACTGGCTATCGCCGAATTTGGCCTCATTGACGGAATCGGAGAAACCGTGCTACCTATTTGTGATTGTAAAGGTTTGGTAGATGAAGAACGTGATGCAGAAATATGAACATTTCCCTCACCTCCAGCAACAGCAGAAGTATTTGCATGTTCTTGTAGTTCGTAGATTTTATGATGAATCTAAAAAAGTATTTAAAGATTTCTTTGAAAATTTCTTTGAACCTGTGCATTTGCATCCAATTTTGTAGCAGTAGAAGACATTGGAGTACCCAAAGACAATAAACCCGATGATGAAGGATTGAGGAATTTTGGAGAAGCGGATGATTGTTGCTGATTGGCGGCGACAAAAGCCTAAACAAAAGACATTTTCGAAATTACATAAGATTTAAATAATTATTAATTTTAGAGTTTCTCCCTTATTCTTGGTAAATTTTCGGGGTATGTCCAAATAAAACATTTCTATATTTTAGATAAAATCCAATCACTAGCCGATTTCTTGCTAAATTTCCCATTAAATACCAAAAGAAAACCTGAAGTTGAGAAATGGCAAAAGGATTTTGTTGTTCAAACATTGTAGCAGAAATTCCTGGTTGAAGATTAGAAGGATCTATATTTGATGAAACAGAAAAAGGAAAGGAAGTTTCATTAAATGTTTGTTGTTGTGGTTGTTGTTGAGATCTTTCATTATTTAAATCTGTTGATGTTCTCCCAACATTTGTTGAAGAAGTTATCGATTTTTCTAATAAATTTTTGTTTTCATTTTCGCCTTTTAATTGTTCTTGTTGTTGTTGCAATTGTTGTAAATATAAAGTAGCAGAATCAATTAATTGACCATCACCTGGAACTAATTTTTGTAGAAATAAAGGTGATGTTGTTAAGGAAGAAGAGGCAATGTCAGCAATAGTAAAGGGAATTCTAGAGGAGAAAAAAATATTAAAAATCAATCCAAAAGGTTGAAAATATGGGCCTGAAAAGTGAGAGCTCGAGTCCGATTCTTTGATCCTAATATTATATTCAGGCTTCGAAGTCAATTATCTTACAAAAAGTGAACGATAATGTGTTAAAAATAAAAAGACTAATAAGGTGTTTTTCCCTCCATGAAAAGAATTAAAAATAAAATACCCTACTCGTTTTTATTCTTATTCTGTTGACTCGCTTGCTGATCATCATTTTGTTTGTCAAACATCTAAATAAAAATATTAAAAATCACTTTCTAAATCAAAAACCAACTTGTTCTTGTTTTTCTAAAGTCGGTGCCGCATCATCAGAAATATCAGAAAAACCTGGAGAATCATCATTTTCTGCTTCTTTTGTTTTATTTAAGCGTTGCTTCTTTGTAGTTGAAGGCCCTTCTTCTTCTATTTCCTCAACAGATAAAGTATTTGGACGAATAATTTTAGTCGTTTGACAATTTTTAAAAGCTTTTTCTTCTTTTGTTAATAATTGTTTACATTTAAAACAAAGAATGTGTGAAGAAGACTCCTCATTATTTTGTGGAATATTAAGAGGATCACATCCTATTGAATTCATTTCAGGAGAAATTGTTTGAGTTGCACTTGATTCAAGAATTGCCTTAAAATTAAAAAAATTAAAATATTAATAATTTAATTTTAATGAAAAATTATCTAAAAACCATCTAATGGTTAATAATTTACAGAAAATTGGTATATCACCCTACTAATTTGAAAAAAAATCATTGGAAACTTGAATCATCAAAATTTTTAATATAAAATGAATCATTCCCTCTATTATTTATCAATTATTTAAACTAACAGCTTTAGTTCGTTCAAAATCTTGATGACCAATTAGCAAATGAGTGTTCAAGTCGGAGATAGCTCCAAATCTAAAACCACACTGCTTATGTGGACATCGATGGGGAAATGATCTTCTTGAGGCTTCGTATAGACCATGATGTGTATTTTGAGAAGAAGAGGAAGCAGAAGAAAGACGACGTTTGGCACTTTGCTTGTGAAAAGATGAAGGATTTGAAGAAGTAGAGGCAATAGGAGAATGTGGGACTGCATGAGGAAAGAATGCATTGGATGAAGAACTGCTTTGCTCGCTAGAAACTGGACCGGGAGTTGTTGGTTCTGAACAACTTTTTGAAGAAACGAGTTGTTTATTCGCATGATTTGGTTGCCCAGCTGTATCTAAATAATTCTTTATTATTTTTAACGAATCTTTGGAAGTTTTCCTACCATCAGCAATATTCTTCAATCGTTTATCTTCTGGGCCACTTGTTGCAATCGATGGTTTTGATAAATGAGTACCACCACGCTTACCACCTCGTTTTACTCCTCCAATATTACTGGCACGATCTCCTTCTGCTGCCATACTATGAGAAGGCCCACTTCCATCATTATCAAAATGAGATTTGTTACTATTTGAATTAGCATTTCTATTAAAAAGATAATTTTTTAATTTAAAATAAAATTAGTTTATTAACACTAAGAAAGAGACTTAAAAATCTAGGTAAAGAAAGGTCACAAACGTCCCAAAATGCAAGGTTATATTAAGAGGGGTTTGGCAAAATTAATTCAAAATCTAACCTTTTTTGAGAATGATGATGAGAAAATAAAGGCTCTCCATCAGTTAGCACCCCATGATATTCTTGTCCACGCCATTTTGCACAAATATACAAAGTATTTCCACCAGATTTACAGATTATTGTTATATCAATTGTTACATTTGTTCCAGGTCGCATTGAAAGTAAATGCTCTTCCAAACCATTAGATGTCCCATTTGCTCTAGTAAAAACACATGTCGATTTATCGATCATTGTCTGTTAAAATTAAAATTTTTTAAAGTTAAAATATGTGAGAATAAATTATAAAAGAAAAGATGCCAAAAATTTATAAATATATGCAGCTCAAATTTAATTCCCCCCCCCCTGCACAAATGTTCATTAAATTTTATAATTTAGTGAAGGAAGTGAAAAAAAGTAAGAAACCCCATGCAAGGTTAAAATAATTTTAAAAATTACCTTTTTATTTAAAGTTCCGCTAAGAAAATTGTGAACACCATGTGGCTTATGCTTTACATCAATTTTGGCAATATTTTCTTCATTGGTTTTATTTTGATGTTTATCAGCATTTAAAGGTTTTTGATCAAAATTCTTAGTAGAAACCTTTTCGCGTTTTTTATTTCGAGTAGAAACGTTTTTTGAAGGTTCCTGTTTTTTACCGTCAATTTCTCCTATTTCTAAATTAGAGCCATCCATTTTAGTCTCAGTTGAACTGATTTGAGTAGAATCGGGAATTGCTGACTGAGACTGACTCGTGGAGGAATCAACGTGTGCTAAAAAATATTTTTTTACTCAATTTTTTATTAGACATTAAAAAACACTAAAATTTAACAAACAAAAACCTGAAACTTTCACGTTCGATTTTTCCCCATCTAATTTTTGTGAAGGTTCAGTTGTTGAAGAAAATTCTGATTCTCCATGCGGGCTCGCAGGAGGACAATCAACAAGTTCATCATCCGTTGCTATAACTAATTGTCCACAATTCTCATCATCATATTCAGTTGTCATCTCAATCGAGAAGACAGCAACTCAATAAAAAGATACAGTTTTAAAATAATCCTAAAAAATAAAATAATAAACTAAATGCGAATGAACTTTTTATTGAAGTGTTTTAATCAATTAAAATTAAACCCAACACTTTCACAGGCAAAAATACAAATACAAACTACAAAAACAAACAAAATTTTCTTTTATTCGTTTTATTCCAAATGTGTTTTCCAAAATGACATAATTTTCACTAATTACCCAATTAAACGAGAAATTCTTCACATGTTAATAAAGAAAGATAAACTTAGAGAGTATTAAATTAGAGAATAAAAGTATAGAGATATAGATCAGTTACTTTTTGTAAATTTTTATGATGCAGGCGAATGTCTATTAATTTTTTAGAGCTTTATTTGATTTATTGTAGCAGCCAAGTTAAAATGTGTTAATTAATTGAGCTCATTTGCGGTTGTTTTGAATCTCGTTGAGTAAGAAAAAGGGGGACAACGAAACTCAAAATTACCTGTTTTAATTTCCCCGTTAATGATACGCATAATCTTCATCAATCATTTTCTTTTTAATTATTTTTTTTCCAATTTTAGCTTAGTTGAATTGACATAATACATATTATTTAATAGTTTCTTTTTAATGGCACTTTGGTAAGACACAAACTTCTTTTAACTTTCAAGATAAATTTTCAGGAAAGATATTGGAATCACCTACACTCGCTTTTCGCAAGTTGCTGCAGCAGCTCTGAGAAATTGTAGAAAGGGAGCTGGAGTGGAGGCGAAAAAGGACACCCAACTGAAGATCACTCAGTGGGATGCAGGCAAGGCACAGAAACAAGGCTAATAGACACAACATATCAAAGATGTTTAGACGATAGATTTGCGATATATTGTTTTAAACAATGTTTTCAATATTATTGATAAAATTAAATGTTTGAGTATTCGCTAAAGTCAAATAAGTTTATTGTTAGTTTGATCTACACGCAATATTGTTACTAGCGTTGATTCCTAATATATACTAGGCTGAAAAAGATTCAACAATAATACACCCTTGGTGTTCAAGTCAACTCGGTTTATAAGTAGTTTACCCTAACTCAATCCCTAATTGAATATCATGACCCAAAAGCTATTAACTAAATTTGTTTGATGAAGGACACGTCATAAAAACAGCAACAATTTATCATTAATTAAAATATAATTGAATCTCCATTTAATCAAAAAGTCCGAAGCCCATATCATCGTCATCGCTTTCTTCCTTCTTTTCCTCTTTTTTCTTCTCCTCCTTTTTCTCTTCAGCTGCAGGTGCAGCAGCTGCGGCTCCCTAAAAATTATCAAAATAAAACGAAATTTAACTATTGTTTCATACCGTTGCAGCAGGTCCAGCAACAGCCGGAGCTCCTGATGGCACGCTCGAAAGTTTCTTTTCACCAGCAGCAATAACCTCATCGAGATTTTTGCCTTCAAGCGCTTTAACCACTGCTTTAGCATTCTCCATATCAACGTCCAAACCGCCAGCACCCAAAATTTTTTCCAAATCCTTTGCCGTTGGTTGAGCGTTCCCGCCGAGACTAGCCAACATATAAGCAGCGACGTATTTCATTTTTAATTAATTTCTCTTAAAAGATAATAATGATTAAGTTTGTGACACAATAGAATCGTGAAAACAAAAAAATCCTGAACTTAAAACTCAGAATCACGTCAGTTTAACAAAAAAACGAAATAAATTTGTCTCGCTTTCTGGCAGGAGAAAATCCTCCAATATTTCTCGCTTTGAAAATTTCATTTAATCAAATATTGAAAGACCAACTTTCATTTAGTCGAAATAACAAATAGCCATTCCCTCTAATTTTGTTCATTCTACAGAATTGTAATTTCTATTGTTTAACTTTTGGTTTAATTTTATTTAATTTTCAGGATAATTTTAAATTTTATTTCTGACTACCTACATTGACATTTTTTATTACAAAAATTAGGTAATTTCATATAAATCGCATTTTAAATTTTTTAATCTAATTTTTTTAAAGTAAATTGATATTCCTATGGAATCACCAGAAGTCAAACCTACTAAAAGAAATTTTTCAAAAAAGCTTCCACATGAAGGATTTAATTATATTGTTGAAAGAGTAAATGAAGAAGGTAAAAAGAAGTATTGGCGATGTGAACATTACCACAGAAAGGGACAAAAATGTGCTGGAAGGTTACATACAAATATGGAAGATGAAGTTTTGTCAGTGATTGGGGAACATACTTGTGATCAATTTGTGGAAGAACCTGTTCAAGTTAAACCAGACAAAACAATTAAACGCAAAGCTGCTGAAGATTTATTTCGGATTCCTTATCAACAAGAGGTTAAGTTCATAAATTTTATCCAAAAATGGGAAAATGGCATCTTACTTCGAGGGCTGGATATTTATAAAAGTGCGTTCGTGGGATAGATAGGGCTGAATCTGAATCAATCCCTTGAATTTTCCTTGTGTCATAAAACATGACCGACATTTTCAATCATGATCGTGTTTCTAATTGATATTTCCCATTTCTAATTTGTATGTTTTGATGTTTTTTAAGTAATCAATTTTGTAATTAAAGATAATCTAGAACAAATTTCTTTTTTATATTCTTATAATTTTTTAGATGTTTGAAACGGAAAATATTTTACTTTCAAAGAGAGGACGACCTAAATTTCACCATAACGGATTTCTTTATTGCTTTGAAAAGATGAATAGTGATGGAGATATTCGATTTTGGAAGTGTGAATTCTTTAATTCAAAACACGTTAAATGCCGTGCTCGTCTCCATACTGATTTGGAACATAATGTAGTTAGAGAAATGGGTGTTCATATTTGCCCTTCTGATGAAGAAAATGTTGAACTTCAGCGAATGATAAGTGAAATTAAACGAAGAGCACTTGAAACTAGTGAACCTGCTAGCGTCTTGAGGGAATATACTATTCAAAGTTCGCCTGCAGAACTTGTATCTTTATTACCTAGTAAAGATGCTGTTAGAAAGGTTTTTTTTAATTATGTAAAATTATACAATTTGGCGGTTTTTTATATGAGTAATGGGAATGGGAAAGAAATTGAGAGTCGGAGCTGTAATTTTTTAATTAAATTTAAGATTGTGCAACGTGTAAGAAAAGAAAGGCCACCTTCAATGGCTGCTAAAACTTGCAAATTTGAACAAATTTATGGTGGAGAAGAGATTAAAGATGAACGTTATATTCCTGAAAATGTTGAAGAACATGATTATGAACAACCTAATTTTCCGAAACGTATAATTAGAAAACATGATATTTATAATGTTGGTTCTACTAGTGGTTGGTTTTAATAAATTTTGACTTTTTTTGCTTCATTCGAATTTAGACTTTTCTTTAAAATTGAGACTTCGGTCGTTTCCAGTCCTCCTTTTTTTCCTCCCCAAGTTTTTTCCTATAATTTGTACAAAATTGGGAGACTTTTCCTTCTTCGATCACAGTTGCCTTACTCTATATTTTGACTACAAACAATCAAAAATCATTATTTTTTTCCACTTCTTTAGAAAGAAAGGCAATTGTGATGTAAGGTAAGAAAAGTTTGTCCATTCTGTACAAATTATAGGAGAAAACTTAGGGAGGAAAAAGGGGGACTGAAAACGACACTATTACTTTTTAGACATTAACCATTTATCTAAAAATTTTTCATAAGATATCCTTTCCATCTAGTTAACGGATATTTTTATCCATTTAAGAATGTCTTTTTAGACATTAACCACGTGTTTAAAAAATCATCTTGTAAAAACATAACTACTCAGAATTTTTTTAAATTAAACAAAAAATTATTTTTTTAAAAAATGTAGCTGAAGAGTTTGAATCTGCCATACGTTCTTCCACATTAAATGCGGAAGCAGATGCTTTTGGTGCGCATGTTGCTGACTTTCTTCGAAATTTGTCACCATCTTGTATGTATAGAATGAAAATTAAATTTGAACGTTTGATGCAATCAAGTATGCCTAGAATTGAGGAAATTGAAGGAAAATTTTAAAAAATTAAATTTATTTTGATGCTTGAAAATCGAAGTTTATTTTGATAATTTTTTTTCTTCATTTTTTGATTATATTAAAATTAGAAGAATTTGTGAACATTTGGCTAAATTAATCGACATATTCAATTTACCTTTTTAAATATTTTTTGCTTTTGAATAAATATTTTTTAATTTTTAGAATTTGTTTCATTTAATAAGAGTTTAAATAACTCAATAAAGTATTTAAAAAATATTTTCAATTTTTATTTTATAATTTTTAAAGAGGTATGGTTGTTGGATTAAGCAGGTTAGAAGCCGGAAAACAAAGGAATTTAACTAAAATTCAGGTAAAAATGTTTTAATTATTGCGGTTTAAGATAACCTTTTTTGTTTGGAGATTTAACAAACTCCGTTTCCCTTTCATACATTTTCATCCAATTCATTTTCCGTCTTTTTGAAAGTTAAGACTAAAGGATGCTAATTGTGAGGATTTAATTTATCTATTTTTAGTATGTCAGCTCTGGCTGTTTTAGTGGTGTAGCAACTCGTTTAGTAATTCAACCTTTAGACGTTGTTAAAATTAGATTTCAGGTTTTTTGTAGTTAAATTAAAATATTTAATTTTTTTTAAATAGTTACAAGAGGAGCCATTACATGGTGTAAATAGAGGGAAGTATAGTGGTCGAATGTTAAAAACAATGAGAATGATTTGGAAGGAGGAGGGCTTTAAAGCGCTATGGTTTTGATTTTAGATTGAAAGAAAATTTTAAAAATTAATTTTTAGGAGAGGGCATATTCCTGGACAGGCTCTTTCCGTTACCTATGGTAAATAAAAAATATAGAAAAATATTTAAAGTTTTTATTTAGGTGTTATTCAATATTCCACTTTTGAAGCATTAAGCAGTGAAATTGTTAAACTTGGACTTGGAAAATACAAAATGACTGCAGACTTTCTTTGTGGATCAATTGCTGGATGTTTTTTTGTTTTTAATTGACATAAAAAATTTTTAAAAATTTTTAGCTTTGGCAACAGCTTGTTCTATGCCTTTTGATGTTATTCGTACTCGAATGGTTAATTTTTGTTTTTAATTGTTTAAACTTAAAATTTTAAAAAGGTGGTTTCGCAAGGTTATCGAAATTTATTACACCCAATTAATAAAACTTGGACAAAGGAAGGAATTGGTGGATTTTTTCATGGTTTAACACCTTCTTTGGCTCAAATTGCACTTAATGCTGGTAAAGATAAATTTAAAAGGGAAATTTGTGACTTTCCATCAAATTTTTGAACCTGCCCATTAAAATTGCACACATCTAATGAAAGGGGATATAATGTTGACAACTCCTTAGAAATTATCAGAGGGAGATACTCATAAATTATTTGGAGACACTTTCTTCCCTTTTAACTAGTGACCGGGGCCGGACCGGATCCGGCCGGATTTTTCCGGAGTCCGGGTCCCAAATCCGGATTTTTTTGAAATTTCCGGATTAAAACCGGACCGGATTAATCCGGAAAAATCCGGCCGGATCCGGTCCGGCTCTAGTTGAAAATCCGGATCCGGGTCCGGCAAATTTTGAGCACCGGATTTGGGATTTTATACGGTTCTGGAATTTTCCCTTTTTTCTTGTATTTTTTATAAAAAAGGTGGATTTTTGACCCCTAACTTTACTGAAATTCAAAAAATTTTCGCCTGCGGCGCTGAAAAGGGATGCGTTCTTCTTATTGGCTTTCCAAAAATCGCACCCGGAAGGCACGACTGAGTCCCCCTTGTATATACCTCAACTCAGTTTCAGTACTAGGCGAAATTAGGGTTGGTATGGAGAGTCTAAGCTTCATTACCATCTAAACTTCAAAAAAAATTTTTGCCTGCGGCTCTAACAATAGAATTTTTTTCTCCTGAGGCCTTCCAAAATTCTCGACATTTTCGCCTCCGGCGGTGAAAATGGAAGAAATCTGGCTTCATGGCTTTCAAAAATTTTCAAAATTTTTGCCTGCGGCGCAAAAATGGAAATCTGACTTAAGGACTTACAAAATTCTCAACATTTTCACCTGCGGCGCATGGAAGGGATTTGAGATTAAGAGGATCCTTGGAGAAAATATTGGAGGAAATCCTTGGAGGAAATATTGCTCCTTGGACTCCAAAATGCTCAATAATTGGCAGGTACGAGAGGCCTGTACGAAAGTAGGAGCAAAATTCAAAATTCCAATCACGCATTACTTTATTTTCCAAACTTTTAACCTCGAAAAATCCACAAAATATTCTTCATAGCCTCTAAAATCCTTAGATATCCCTCTAACAACATTTTAAGACATAAACGACACACATATTACAACATTTTAACACAAAAATTACAGAAAATTTTTTTTTGAAAAATCCGGAAAAAAACCGGAGTCCGGTCCGGAATCCGGATAATTTCTGCCGGACTCCGGAAATTATTTTTACCGGATTAAAACCGGACCGGATTTATCCGGAAAAATCCGGCCGGATCCGGTCCGGCTCAAGTTGCAAATCCGGAATCCGGATCCGGTTCCGGAAAAATTGATTTTACCGGTCACTACTTTTAACCTTTTATTTATTTAAAATAAAAAATTTAATTTTTTGGTATCAAATTCACTGCTTATAATTGGATAAATTCATTATCTCACGAAAGGAATATTAACAACAAACTCGAGAAGGAATCTCATTCAAATGTTACTAAACAATTAAATAGGCTAGCCTCAGGTGCTTTAGCTGGCATTGTAGCCAAAACAATAACGGTACCACATTCATTTTCTTTCAAACTTTTTTTTAATTTTAAGTATCCATTAGACTTGGTCAGACATAGGCTACAGGTTTTTAAATTCAAAAGATAATTCCCCTAAAAAATTTTATTCAGATAAATGAACGAATTAGGCCTGGAGCCTTCGGTCAAACGACTGCTTACGGCGGAATGTTTGTTTTTTTCTTATTTTAATTTTAATTCGATTTTCAGGACAGCCACCATTCGCGGAATTGTTAAACACGAAGGGGTTACAAGTTTATATAAAGGTATTTGGCCTGCTTTGCTCAAAGAATCAACACAGACGGCGCTCTCATTCTTTTTCTATGAACTTGCTTGTGACATTCTCTCAGGGGCATTATTTAATTCAAAATAGATATCAGAATTTCTCTTATCAAATATTCTCAATTGTTGTGTCTTATCTCGTTTGTTGAATTTTTATTTTATTTTTTAAATTAAAATTTCATACCAAAATACGGCTAATTAATATATAGTTATCAGACTTTCTGGAGGGGATTAGGCTGGGAGCGTCCGAAAAATTTTATCATAAAAATTCTTATTTGACATTGAAGGATTATAGCTTTGTAGCACACAATTTCTTTATTTTTTAAGGAATTTACTAAACTTTCTATTCAATAAGAATAATATTCTAAAAGAGATTCATTTTATCTAAAATAATATTTAAGAAAAAGCCAAAGATCTATTACAATTTTGTTATAAATGAATATATAATTATTAAATTTTCTAGGAGATTAAAACCCGGTGAAATGCGCTCTATAAAAGGAATAATATTACCCAATTAAATGAGAAGCCTAAATCAAAAATTCGCTATTTTTAGCTTATTATTCATTGTAGTTTACTTTATTCTATTCTTCTTTCTCATCACTATCAGATTCTTCAAGCTCTAAGTCTTTCGCTGTCTGTTCATATGATGCTTGATGTTTTGCGAGAATGCGAAGGAGTGGTCGAACTTTAAGCCACCATTGATGCTTTGGAAGTCGATTATCAAAGTCAGTATTTGATGCCAACTCCTCTACAGGTGTAAAGAGCAAAGCACGATCAACAAGCCCTTTAAATGTTTAAAATTAACAAAATTATTTTATTTTACAATTAATGTTTACCTAACAATCCGCAACAATCTGTTTTAGTATCTCCCTTTCTTTTAAGATTGAGAAGCTCCAACAAATGCTCCAACGCACGAATTCCAAATTTAGCGCCCAAGTTACGATCAAAAGGAGTTGGCCTACCACCTAAAAATTAAAAAATATTTTAAAAATTTGTCAAATTTTGCCTTGCTGTGCATGCCCAAGAATATTAACACGCGTTGAGAACTAAATTATTTTTTTCATAAAGTTTTCAAAAAGAAAATCAAAACCTCTCCTTTTCCTTCTTCTCTAAAGAGTCTATCCACAAAATCGGTATTGTAGTTTGCACTAGCACCTTCACTTTGAACAATCAAGTAACGCTGTACACCAGTTTTCATCTTTTCTGCAATTACTTTTACGTCCTCCTTTATATCTGAAAAGTAATTTTATTTTTTAAATTTCAGATTCTAGAGCAAACCGTCAGCAGTAAAACGCTCTTCAAAAATATAAGCATTATCAGCCCCTGTAGCCAATGCTGCAAATGTTGCCAAATAACCACAATGACCACCCATTGTTTCGATGATAAAAACTCGTCGTTTAGTTCCATTTGCCGATTGTTTAATATTATCAACAAGACGGCAGATCTCATTAAGTGCTGTATCAGATCCTAGAGAAAGAGAAGTACCAGGAACGTTGTTACTTATTGTACAAGGAACGACACAAATCCTAAAAAATATTTATAAATTTTAATTAAAAAGGAATTACGGAATAGCAAATTCTGGATATTGTTCTTTGTTACGGGACAGAATCAAAGCAGAATGAAAAGCCTAAAAAGAAAATTAACGTCTAAAGTTAAAGATTTCTAAAAAAACCTCGAATCCACCAACAATCAATAGCGCTTGAATTTGATATTTCTTTAATTGAACAGCAATCTGATCCATATATTTTGTTGGTAACTGTTTTTGTGTTCCAAGTTTAGATCCGCCTACTCGACCCCAACCAGCAACTGCCTCCCAATCAAGCTCTTCTATTTTACCCTCTGCCAAACCTTCAAATGCATTATTGATTCCAAAAACTTTACAGCGATGATAGAGAGCCATACGAACAAAAGCACGGACTGCGGCATTCATTCCTTAATTTATTTTGAAACTCAAAAAAATAAACTAAAAATACCTCCAGCAGGAGCACCGACATTCATAACCGCAACATTATAACTAACTCCCCCAGACAAATTGTCTTTCTCTTTTGGTGTATGCAATTTTGTGAGCAAACGATAAGTATTCAAATTACGTTGGAAACTTTGTCCGCGAAGGTGAACAGCTTTTTCAAAGTTTTTAGCATCCATAGCTTTTTGAACCTAAATTTTAAAAAAAATTAAATAAGAGAAGAAATACAAACATCTTGAGTACGACGAACACATTCCATTAGAGGAACACGAACCATTTGATTGCTGTCAGTAGAAATTACCGAAGGTTCCTACAAAAACATAACAATTAATTTTCGTTTAATGTTTAACCGATTCTGGCGTCATTTGCATTAATGCCAAAGTTGCCTCTGCGCCCATACGACATCCAAGAAGACGATCAAATGTCGAGGGACTTCCACCTCGCTGAACATGTCCAAGAACAGTTATACGAGTGTCATAACCGAGACGAGTTTTAACCGAATTACAAACCTTAAATTTTTTTGATTATTCTTTTTTTTCGAGTAACTCACTTTTTCACTAGATATTGGTGTTCCTTCTCGATCTATAGCTCCCTCAGCAACAATCATAATGTTTAAACGTTGATTCAGTTCACGCGAATTTTCCAATTTTTTGCAAAGAACCTTAAAAAACCATATTTAGCAAAAAACATTAATTTTACCTCTTCCCAATTAACAGGTTGTGGCCATTCAGGGATAAAGCAAAAGTCAGCTTCACTTGCCAAAGAAGCAACCAATGCCAAATAACCACAATGGCGTCCCATAACTTCAATAACAAAAGCACGTTGATGACTTTGAGCAGTTGAGACGACAGAGTCAATGGCCTCAACTATTCGTTGAAGGGCAGTATCCGTTCCAATAGTCATGTCTGTACCACAAAAGTCATTGTCAATAGAACCAACCAAACCAACAATCTTAAAAAGTCAAATAACCCTGAAAATTGGCATAATTGTTACCTGAATATTAGCACAATTCTTTGCTTGTTCTTCAGTTATTTCTTTCGCGTCCAAAAGCTCTTTGACCAGTGATGGCCATTCCTGTCGAAAAGTATTGGCTCCTGTCAGAGATCCATCTCCTCCAATACAGACCAAATGAGTAATACCTTTAGCTATCAAATTCTTGCAAGACTTAAATTAAACTGTTAATACTAAAATAGCATTGTAAGCTTACAATTCTTCGTCCTGGACGTTCTCTAAACTCTTTGCAACGAGCAGAACCAATAATTGTGCCACCCCACTGGATTATGTCAGACACGGAATTCCAATTGGCTTCAAGAATATTATCACCGCCTTTAACCATTCCATCATATCCTTCTTTAATGAAGAAGACACGACATCCAAAATATAGCCCTGTTCTAACAACAGATCGAACAGCACTGTTCATGCCTTACAATTAGAATAATTATTTATGAAAATTAAAATTGAAGTCAAAACCTGAAGAATCACCACCACTTGTGAAAACAGCCATAGATTTCCCTGCAAAACATCCTTTAAAAAGAGATCAATTAAAAAGAATTTATCAAAAGTTGATACCAGGCTCCATACATGACCCTTCGAGTCCTCCAGTTTGTGAGGGAATGGCTTCTGAATGCGCCATAAAAATATTTTCTTGAATATTAGAAACTTTAAAAAATGAAAAAGAAACTTATAGGGAAATAAAAAGAAATGAGAGCAAAGACACACTCACAACTATTTTTTTTATCAATGAAAGCAGTTTAAAAATGATTTCGAAATAAGAATAGAAAGAGTAATAATCATTTTTAAATAAATAGAAACAAACAATCACGAGAATAACAAAAAATAAAAAAAATTTTTTTTAATTCCAGTTTTTCTATTTTCTAGTTCAAAGTAGAGACCGGCAAAATCGCACTTACGGGATCCCGAGTCGGGATTTTTTTTCTTAACCGATGCCGGGACGGGATCCCGAGGGAGTAATCCCGAAAAAATCCCGGATTTCAAAAATCCCGAAAAAAATTATCCGGGATCCCGCCCGGGATTCGGGATTTTTTTCAAAATAAAAAATTTGAACTTTTTATGATGACGTTCATAAAATACTCAATTTATACTAAGTAAATAAAATTAAATTTGTAAAAATAGCAATAATTTTTTATAATTGGATTGTCCTCCTCCCTTAATTCCCTCTATAATAGATTTAGAGGGATATCGGTGGATTAATCAACAGGTCCCTTGATAGAATCCCACTATATACTAATGTCCCTCCGCTTCATCTCCAGTAAAGACTCCAATTTTCTCCCGTTTTTAGCGCCGCAGGCAAAAATTTGGGGAATTTTGGAAGATCCTTAAGCCAGATTTCTTCCTTTCTCAGCGCCGCAGGCGAAAATTTTGAGAATTTTGGAGTTCCTTAGGCCAGATTTCTTCCGTTTTCAGGCCGCAGGCGAAAATTTTGAGAATTTTTAGTGGACAAAAAGCCAGATTTCTTTTTTTTTCAGCGCCGCAGGCGAAAATTTTGAAAATTATAAAAATCCCGAAAATTATAAAAAAATGTCCGGGATCCCGAGTCGGGATTTTATTTTTTAACCGATGCCGGGACGGGATCCCGAGGGAGTAATCCCGAAAAAATCCCGGATCCCGAATGATCCCGAAAATCAAAAAAATCCGGGATTTCGGGATCGGGATCCCGGAAAATCCCGTCGGGATCCCGTCCCGCGCCGGTCTCTAGTTCAAAGGTCGATTGAATTTTGTAAAATATTTACTTTTACCCTTTTGAATTTTCCATTTAAAAATTTTCCATTTTGTATTTATTCTTATGAAAATATTTCAAAATATATAAAATGGAAGATCATTTGCTCAAATCGCCACATTGCCAAAAATGTACTTTGTTGAAATTTTTCAAAATTTATTTGTAATTTTTCTTTCTAATAATTTTAAATTTTCAAGATTTCATTGAATGAATTCCTACAATAATAATACAAAACGTCAAGTTTTGTCACTTTATTCACGTATTATTCGTCTTTCAAAATCTTGGACAGCAAAAGAGCCAAAAAATACTTGTGTAGAGCGTGAATATATTTTATCTGAGGCTCGAAACGAATTTAGAAAAAATATTTTTGTTTGTTTAAAATTTTTTCTTATTAAAAAAATATTTTTAGGAGACAGATCAACTAAAAATTAAACAATTATTGGACGAAGGAAATAAACGAGTTGGAATTGCTTTACATTATGGAATCCCCTATGACCGACCAGAATATTTACCTCCCTCAACCTCTTACGGTTTTTTTAAATTTTTAAAAAAATTTGTTTAAAAAACCTTTTAATAGATGTTGACCTCAAATCAAAAACTTTTAAACAACGAAAATCTAAAAGCTCTCAATGGGATAACGTCTCTCCCACCACTTTTTCAAATAAATTTGGAGCAAACTCTAATTGACCGACTCCGTCCATTTATTCGTTGTTTTTTCTCTGATTTAAATATTCGAGAGGAAATTATTGAAAATTTTGTTTTGGCTGTGAAGGAATATAAAGAGTTGAATTTGGATGATATTATTTTTAATTCGCCTGCTAGAACTGTTTTTCCTGGAAGAAAAAATAAATTAAAAAATTTGTGTAAATTGGCAATAAAAAAGGTTTTTTTAAATTATAATTCGAATTTAGTTTAAAAAATTTGTTTTCCAGTTTGAACAACTCCAAATGGACCCATCAGATATTCTTTATCAAAATATTTGTTTGTCTATGGAAAGTGAACAAGAATATTTTTTTAGTATTTTCCCTCTTAATTTTAAACAATTTTCTTCTCCGTCAAATGAACAAATTAATTATCTAGTTATTTGTCAAAATATTCAAAATATATCAAAAGGAACTACTGGATTGTGTTGCTGGCAGGTTTTTAATTTTAAAAATTAAAATTTTTGGAAAATACAATTTTGAATAATTAAATATAAAAATTAATTTACACGGGCTCATGCCCTAAAATTTTGATTAGATTTTCTAAATTAAAATTCCGAAAAAAAGCCGCCCGAAACCCGGCATTTTTTCTACCCGATACCCGAAATGAAAATTTTCCAACCTGAAACCCATACCCGAAGATTTTTTGTACTCGCGGTTTGAACCGAGACGACATCTAGAACTAGAATATCGGTTATCGACATTTTTCGAACTCTTCCACCCTGGATTCTAATCCATATATTTTTCTAAAATCTATGTTATTTTTTTCAAGTTTAACAATAAGATAAATTCTCTTTATTTTCCAATAACTTTCCTAATTTTAATAAAAAACCCAATTCTTTTCAATTTCATTTTTAGGCTTCATTTGCTTTAGCTGATTTTTTATTTTTATCGTTTTCTACCAATTTATTGCCATATCTATCCAATGCAAAATATATTTTAGAATTGGGTGCTGGATGTGGACTTGTTGGAATTTTGGTTGCAAAACAATTTTATTTAAATAAAAATAAAGAAATTAAATTAATTTTGAGTGATTCTGATAATTTTGTTTTGGAATTGTTAAATAAAAATATTAAATTAAATTTTGGTAATATTGAAGGTTTTTTTTGAGTTTTTTAAAAGAGAAATTTTTTTGAAATTAAAGATAATTTAATTATTGAATCAAAATATTTGGATTGGACTAATTTTATTCCAAATGATTTGCCTCCAGCTGATGTTATTGTTGCTTCAGGTATTTTTAAAAAGAATTTTTAATTTAATTTTTATACTTAAATTCGGAATTCTTTTTAAATTTTATGAGAATTTTTTTGATTACCAATGTGTCACAGACTTTTTAAAAAATATTTTTTTGACTTTTGAAATATTTATGTTATTCCACTTAAGAATTTAAAAATTATATTTAATTAAGAATTAATTTTTTTTAATTTTTTAGATATTATTTACGACCCAGAACTTTTCCCTTCATTAATTAATTTATTAAAATGTTTACTTTCAAATAATCAAAGCTTTTTTAATTGTCCAATTGCCATTATTGCTTGCACTATTCGAAATCCAGAAACTTTAAATTTATTTTTGGAATTAATTGGTAAATTATTAATTTTCATAAAAATTTATTTTTAAATTATTTAGAGGATTTTTTATAAGAATTTTAGCTTCCTGTTTTTTTAGTTTCCGTATCTGAATTCAGAGAAATCAGATTCAAAAAACATTTTTTAATACTTTCAGAGATTCATTAAAATATTTTTAATTTTGTTAGGGCGGGAATTATAGTAAAGCCGAGGGACCAACAAATAAGTCTCAGCCTAATAGTCTAGTTCAAACAAAACACTTCCAAGCAAATTAAATAATATTTATTTTCCAAATCAAATTAAATCCAATAAATAAAGCGCCAAACAATAATAAGCCAAAGCAGTAAGTTAGAGCCAACCAAAGAACCAAGAACTGGGACCAACAGAACAGAGTAGAGCTTATGAGAAAAAGCTAATGTGGGTTTTGGAGGGAAGATTATATAGGCCAGGAAAATAGGCGGGTGAACAAAGTTAAAAGTAAATAAAATTCCAAAAGTGAGCAAAAAATAGAAATGAATGCATGGCGGCTGGTACAAAAAAGGTTAATTTAAAAATAGATGCGCTTAAAGAAACAAAAGAAAGCTAATTTGAAAAGTTAGAAATAGAAAAAAATTTCTTAAACAGAAAAGAATTTCCTAGACAGCAGGTGCGAGTTAAAAATTAAGATTGGAATTTTAAAGAAAAATGAATTTAGAAAAATAAACTTAAAAAGATTAAATTCTAATTGTCGCCTTTCGCGACATTCCCGGGCCCCCAGTTGTTTTTCTTTTCTTCTATTATTTCTTTGTCATCTCGGCTCATCATAGCATCAGATTGTCTCGCGCGCCATAAAGTGAGTGTAGCAGGTTGATTGAGGTCGCCGTGAGTTCCGGTTCGTCCTCTATGGCAGCAGTTTGCGAAACGGTTACGTGTGGAGCTTTCTCTTTTATTTCGGATTGTTTCTCTGGTGCGTGCCCTCGTATAAGCAGTCTTTCTTTTCGTCCGTCTCCAGCATTGACATCCCATCCTTCCAATAGCCACAATCATTCGAAAGTTTTTACGATAAGATCGGCAAAGAGTAAGCACAGCACAGAGTCCAAAAAACGCGGTTAGAGTAACAAGTGCCCAAGGAACAGCAAGGCGGTCGATACAAAAGGTGCCGTCCATTACTAAGCAGTCATTTAAAGCTGGGTATGTCATCTCTGTCGACAACATTTCACGCGAGTTTTTCCAAAATTTGGCCACCCAATGATAGTCAGTCAAAAGCCTCTCAGTGTGTAATTCGTATGATAACTTTTCTATTTTTTGGTTTCCAAGTGGACCAAAGACCATAACGCAAACAAGACAAAGTGCCACCAATGTACTTGCTGCTAGTTTAGCCCTTGCCACTGTGACTATCGGATGTTTTACCAACTGTTTTTGATCGGCTGAGTTCCAGTTGAAAGAAATGGTTTCATGTGGTACCCTAACATCATTGGGCCTTAAGGGCAGCGGCGCGACAGCTTCTTCCGGGGCTGTAGAGATTGGACATTGATTTAGGTTAGCTTCTACATCAGCTGTAAATGTTGTCGATTTTTCCATAGGCCTCAATGCTACTTCATCATGATTTTGCGCAGGATTTTCGTTTATACCAGTTGACTCCAGACTTCGGAAATCCTCCACAGCGTCAGTTGATGGAAGATTTTTACTGTTACTCGCATTTACTGCCAACAGAGACATAGATTTCTTGTTCGAACTGTGTCCAAAATTAGTTTCGCCAGCGGTCATTGTTCCAAAAACGGTTTGAATAGAGTACAGGCCTGGTAAGATTTCCTTCTCCTTCGTTATGAAAAATCTCCAAAATTGTTTAATTCCAATCATGATGTCTGGTTTTTCTCTCACAATTTCCAAGCTATCAACTCCAGTGCGATTATAAAAGAATTCATCAAAATTTATCATATCAAACGGAGTGGCAATTTCTTCGGTACAATTTAAGGCAATTTCTTCCCAGTTCCCATCGGTTCTCTGTATTTTAAGCATATACGTGGGTGATCGGATTTTTAGCGGGTTGGTCGAGGCTCCTCCAAATCCATGAATCTCCAATTGATCAATTTCGCGGCCTCTAGGCGGGTTGAGTTTTTCCACAAGTCGGCGAGAAACAAAGCTAGTCTGACTTCCAGTATCGAAAAACACATAGACGGGGATTTTTTCTTTACGCCCTCTAGTAGTGACCATCAATCTTTTTGTCATCAGGTAGGCAGTGGGTTTATTCTTAGCATCCATCACGGTAGCTACCACAGAGTTCTCTTTAGGCGCTGGCAATTTGGCGTCGCAGTTTGTCCCATGATCCATAACGTGTGGTTCATCCCTTCTTTCCCATATTGACTGAGTAGATTGTCTCGGTTTAGCAACTGGTTCAGGGCGACCAGGCTGAAAGAACGTTCTCTGAGCAGATCCAACAAATTTGGGTTGAAGTTGATTCCTGCCATCTCGCGAAAAGCATACCAAAAAATGGTGGGGTCCCTGGCATTTACTACAGCGACGGTGGTTCGGGCAGTCAATGTCTCGGTGAGCATCTCTTAGACAAATTAAACAACGGTTCTGTTCCAACAAACGGTCCCTTCTTGCTTTTGGATTTCCATATTTAGTACATTCGCTTGGGAAATGGTTTCCTTCTTGGCACAGAGAACAAAAGAGCGTTTTAGGTTGGCTAGCAACTGGAAAAGAACGAGTAGGCTCTGGTTGATAAAATGGTCGTCCATCTCTTCGCGGCTGTCCTTCTTTTTCCTTATTAGCGGTACATCTTTGCACTTCCTCTTCTACTGATATGAGCATGTTGAGTTCTGACCTCCAATTCTCAATCTTCCAAATTCTTCCGGCCATTCTTTCTTTTTCAATCAATCTGGCTAATATTCCTCTAGGTAGCTTTTCCTTCAGAGCAAATATAATCCACGAGTCATCTTGGATCCCATAATCCCCCAATTGCCGACAGACACGCTCAACTACGTCCAGAAATTTCCTAAGTCCGATCACTGAGTCATGTGCTGGCGCGAGGTGGTATAGCTCTGATTGCAACGCTTCCTTCAATGCTCTAGAGTCTCCATATCGCGATTGTAATAATTCCACCACCTGAGGATAATTCTCATTCGTCGGCATGTATCCGGCTACAACGTTTAGGACTGGCCTCTCAAGAAGAGAAAGTAGGTAGTTCATCTTTAACACATTACTATAGCTAGGTTCATTATCGACTGTCGACGAAAACATCTGCCAAAAGGTTGGCCAGTCTCTTGCATCTCCAGAAAAACGCGGCAATTGGAGTAGCGGAAGGTTAACTCGCGGTTGAGGCACGTGGTATCCAGCCGTCCTTGCATCATTCCTCCCTGCACTATTTATTTCCAGTTGATTTATTCTAGCATTCAAGTTCTCTATTCCAACATTAGGATTATTTATTTCTGCATTCAAGTCCACACTATGGTTGCTCTCACTCAGCGCAGACTGTCGAGAATTGGTTCGAGAACGTTCCAGGCTTTTTATGGTTTCCTTAATCATATTTAAGACCTCACGGGCAAATTGATTCTGGTCCAGAAAGTGCCGTTGGGAAAGTGGAACCTCTTTTCCATCCTCGAATCTGCCAGCTTTGTGCGGGAAGC